ATTTCATCCCAACACAAACATCTCCCTGGACTCTATGCCCAGGGATGCTTCCACTCATGATTTGTCCTCCATAGTGGCAAATGTGGAATCAATGGCCGCAGCAACAATGTAGGAAGAGGCCATTTAAAACCAAACAATTAGAGAAACCTCACACTTCTCTGACTAAATCTCCTTATGTACCTACTGACAGAAATGATGGTGAGGATCTGTACTCTCCACATTTGTCTATTGCATCTTTATTTCAGCCTAACTCTTTTTCTACCATGGAGGAGGCAATCCTACCTCCATCCTCTAACAATACAGAGGATGTTTCTTCCTTTCAGGACCTTTTTAAAAGAGTTGCAACAGATTTAAATATCACCATGGAAGAAGTACAAGACTCTCACCATGATCTCACAAACATCCTCCAAACGACACCATCCGCTAAGATAGCTCTACCTGTCAATTCAGCCATACTCGTACCGGCAAGAGCCTTGTGGCAGACTCCTGCCTCCAATCCACCAACATCTAAAAAGGAAGATTGGAAGTATTTTGTCCCCCCCAAGAGCTTTGAATTTCTTTTTTCATACCCTTTGCCCAATTCCCTGGTAGTAGATGCTTCGCAGCAAAGAAATAAACAGCAGAACTGATGCCCTCCATCTGAAAAGGACAATAAAAGATTAGACTCATTCGGTAAAAAGGTTTATGTTTCAGCTACACTTCAGATGAGGGTAGCGAATTACGCCGCGTTACTCGGTAAATATGATTTTAACAACTATGCAAAATGTAACACATTTATTGAGCATATTCCTGACAACAAAAAGATACAATGTAAAGCTTTCATATCAGAAGGTCAAACAATGTCATGAGCACTACAAGCCGCCCTCAATGCAGTGGATACGGCCACAAGAACAACGGCCACAGCGGTCACTATGAGAAGGGCCTCATGGTTCAATTCTTCTGCTTTTCCTCGTCAAGTCCAACCAGCTGTGGAGTATCTCCCATTTGATGGTAATAAGCTATTCTCGACAAAGACTAATGAACTTCTTCCGTCAGTGAAGGATTCTGGGGCTATATATACGAGTGGGGGAGTCAGCCTGCCCCAGTCAGATGCGGGCTTGGCCGCCCCCCCCTCGTGTTTGCCCACTCGGGGTAAGTCCTCAATCTCCTTGATTTATCCTGACGCAGGTTTAGCCTGACGCAGGTTTTACATATTATTGCTGAGATGTGGGGATAGGGGGGCCCGGGCCTACCCTCTCTCATGGGCCCGAGCCCAGGGCCCTAAGGACAGGGTCACTAGATCCTGCCCAGCTGGCGGGGCTAATGCCCGCAACTCACCGGCTCCAAACCCCGCCCTGGGCTACTTCTTACCCCCGAGCGACTCTGTTCCTGGGAGTTTCCGCCCCGGGCGTCCTGCCTTTCAAGCCTCCCTCTCCCTCGGGGGTCCCCTCTCCCTGGTTACCTACTCCTTTCTCCTGGCATCCTCCTCTCCAGTTGCTTCCTCCTCCTCCCCTGAGCGTCCTTCCACCCAGGTTTAAAATCTCGCGTCGGCATTGTGCCCAGCGTGACGTTTCCAGCTGCCCACCCCCCAGCCGGCACCTACCTCCACCCTGTCTTAGGGTGCTGGCCGGCGCGTCTCTCTGGCCCCGCCCCCACCTCAGCTGAGCGGTGGCGGCAGTACAGGGGCTGCCTGCTGCCCACGCTTCCTGGTCGGCCCCCAGGAGTGCAAGCGCGACCGCGGGGTGGGTCTGCCTCCGCGGGGTGGAGGCTGCCCGTCCCGTCACACTATACTACTGTCACTTGGCATCCAAACACCTGCAACAAGACCAAGACAATTCAGGTACCAACCATATCAGAGACCAAGATACCAAAAACCCACGTATCATTACCAGCGGCAAGACCACCCGCCATACCAACAACGCAGGTGAGGTAGACAGCAAAGACGACTTACTCAGAATAACAACCCCAATCATTCATCCCAATCCAATAAGCACATTTGAAATACCAGTCAAGAGACCAAAAACCACACCACCTACCCCAGAGCATCAAAATATATCAAAACTTCTGTTTGTTGCCATTTTTACAAAACTAGAAAACAATTACTTCTGACAAGTGGGTAACAAAGTCTATCCTCAGGTTACACCATCCCTTTCCTCCCCACTCCCCCATCCATCCTCCCACCCTGTCCCTCTTCAGAGACCCCGCTCACGAGACCATCATACAACAAGAGGTGGATCACCTCCTCCAGTTAGGGGAGATAGAACCAGTGCCCCCAGAATTCCACAGAATGGGTTTCTATTCACACTGTTCCTCATAGAAAAGAAAACAGGTGGGTGGAGGCCGATACTTGATCTTAGATTGTTAAACAAATACATAAGAAAACAGAGATTCAAAATGGTCACTCTGGCCATGATTATCCCAGCTCTGGAGTTTGGTGACTGGTTTTCATTTCTCGAC